CAGGGGGAACATTTGACTTTCAAGTCCTCACTGATTTAGATAACTTCTGTAGCCTGACAGGGAAATGGGTACAAATTCCTTATATTCAGGCTTTTTGGGACATCCACTCCGGTCCCACCTTCTGTTCTATCTGTTCTACTGCCCAAGTTTTCCTTGCTAGAGAAAATCCTAAAACTCTCTCCCATTGTTCCCATTGGTGGGAAGACCCTACATCCTTTAGGTCTCAACAGCTGACATGGACAGTCCTACCCCAAGGCTTCAGGGCCAGTCCCCATCTCTTTGGGCAGGCCTTGGCATGGGACCTAACTGCTTGTGACTTGGGGGATAGCACGCTCTTACAGTATGTGGATGACCTCCTCCTATACAGTTAATCCCTTAAGGCTTCCCAAACACACTGTTCAGCTCCTCAGTTTCCTGGGGTCCCAGGCTATCGAGTCTCTCCAGCCAAAGCCCAGCTTACTACCTCTTCAGTTACCTATTTAGGTGTACTTCTCACTCCAATCTCTAAAAGCCTGACAACGGACAGGATTCAAGCTCTCCATGACTTGCAGCCACCTGAAACAGGGGACTACCTCCTTTCCTTCCTGGGTCTGGCAGGTTTTTTCAGGCATTGGGTTCCTAACTTTGCACTTCTCGCTAAACCTTTGTACCAGGCAGCTAAGGAGACTCCTCACGGGCCCCTTACCTCCCCTAACCTAGTAGCCAATTCCTTTTACAAGCTCAGGGATGCTCTTACTTCTTTTCCCACTCTTTCTCTTCCTAACCCTAACCATCCTTTTCACTTCTTTACGGATAAAAGACAGGGTATCACCACTGGCCTCCTCGCTCAACCAATTGGACCCTCCTATAAGCCGGTGGCATACCTCTCCAAGCAGCTTGACTCTACGGTTCGGGGATGGCTACCATTCCTCTGAGCACTGGCAGCAGCAGCAGAAATAACTAAGGAAGCCCTAAAACTTATTTTGCTCCAACCAATAACTGTATTTTCCACTCATCAACTGCAGGACCTTTTAAACCATAAGTGTCTTCCTCTTCTGAGCCCTTCAAGAATTCAAGAATTCCACCTCCTCTTTATAGAGAACTCCACCATTACCCTCTGTTCTTCGTCTCCTCTCGATCCAGCCACACTCCTCCCTCTATCCCAGGCCCCCTCAAGTGCTAACCATTCCTGTCCACAGGTGCTAGAGGCCCTTTGATCACCCCATGAGGACCTCTTTGATGACCCACTTCCCTCACCTGACTTAACCATTTCTGTGGATGGCAGTTCAGTGACGGGCCGTGACGGACACCGTAGATCTGCATATGCAGTACTCACTGCTGCCTCAATTCTGAAAGCCGGCTTCCTTCCTGAAGGAACCACCTCCCAGAAGGCTGAACTTTTCTCACTTATCAGGGCTCTTACTTTATCCAAAGGCAAACAGGTTAACATATATACAGATTCCAAATATGCCTTCCTAATTGCTCATTCATATTCAGCTATTTGGAAGGAACGAGGATTCTTGACCACAAAAGGATCACCAGTGGTCAATGCCTCTCTCATCTCCAAGCTCTTACAGGTACTACAACTGCCATCACGAGTGGCCATCATACACTGCAGAGGACATAAAAATCCCTCTGACCCTATAGCTATAGGCAACAACAAAGCAGACTCTATAGCCATGGGAACTAACAACAAAATTCTCAGCAGCTCCTATCTTATTTTTATCCACCACAATTAAGCCTAAGTATTCTCCACAGGAACGACAGAACCTAATAACCCAAGGTGGCCATTTCAGGAAGGATGGCTGGATTTTCCTGGGGGATAAAATTGCCCTCCCTAAACAGCAAGCTTACAGCCTATTGATGGACATACATAACTCTCTTCTTATTGGCCCCAAGCCCCTTTTCCAGTTTTTACAACCCCTCTTCTACTTCCCAGGAATGAGAACCACCCTCCAGCAGGTCCACTGGGCTTGTTCTGTCTGCTCTACAGTATCCCCACTAGGGGGCATCAAACCTAAACTCCCTACACATCAGATGAGAGGCCACCAACCAGGCGAAGACTGGTAGATTGACTTCACTCACATGCCTAGGCACAAAAAGCTGCGCTACCTACTTACTTTGGTTGATACTTTTTCAGGTTGGACAGAAGCCTTCCCAACCTCCAGGGAAACTGCTGACACCGTCACCTCCATCCTCATTGAGCAGATCATTCCCAGGTTTGGACTTCCCGCCACCATTCAGTCAGACAATGGTCCAGCCTTCAATTCTCAGGTTGTTCAACTAGTTTCCAAAGGCCTCAACATCACTTGGAGGCTCCACATCCCTCACCGACCCCAATCCTCTGGTAAAATTGAGAGGGCTAACGGCATTCTCAAGGATCATCTCACTAAACTTGCTATTGAACTCAGACTGCCCTGGCCCAATCTTCTGCCATTGGCCCTCACCCGAATTCAGGCAACCCCTAGAGCCCCCTCAGGCCTTAGCCCCTTTTAGCTGCTCTATGGGTGCCCTTTCTTAATCAACCAAAACTTTCCTGTCACTCCTCCTCCCCTTGTGTCCTACCTGCCCTATCTCACACTTCCACACAAACTCCTAAGGGAACACGCAGATGGGTGTCTTCCTGCACCATCCGTTACTTCTGTCCCAGCACAACCAGGAATTGAATCGGACCCTCTTCAACTGGGTGACATAGTCTTAATTCGAGAGCTGCATCCTCAGTTGTTGAAACCTCGCTGGACAGGACCCCATACAGTCATACTTGCTATCCCAACGGCAGCTCTTGGGTCACTCCCCCGGTACCATGTCTCCTGCCTTAAAAAAAGCACCTGTTCCAAATGTCCAGTCCTGGACTTCCACCATGTTGGGGCCCACCAAACTCAAGATTTCTTGCCAACCCTCTCCTTGTATTACTAATCATTAATCTCTCTCAAGCTTCTATCCCAACCCATAGATGGTGCTTCTACATCCAAGCGACATGGCAGCAGGATGGCACCACCAGCTCTCAGTTTATGGGTCAAGGCGATTGCCTTTTCACTGGCTGTAATTGGGCCGTCACCCTTAATATTACTGGATTCAACCAGGCCACCTCGTCCCACTTAAGTTCAGCAATGCTATGCTTCATAATACACCAAACTGAAGAATCCTGTAAGCACTGGCCTGACACCTATGGCGGGTGCCCTTATACTTCATGAAAGAAACATTTCCTACATAAGTTTGTTATGAGAATCAAGCGTACACCAAATTAACTATTTGGGACCCATGGGACCCAAAATGGGCTTCTGGTGTTGATGGTAAATTTTATTCTTGGGGTTTTGCCAAACACCCCTCAGCCTCTATCAGAATATGGAGAACTTACATACAAGTGTTCCCTCAAATTCACATAACCATCCAGGAGCAAGAGAAGGAACTCCAACACCAGCTGGATACAGTTGCCCATCCTAAAGCTGACCCTTTCTCATGGATGGCCCTAATCATCAGGGCCTTCAGCTTCTCAATTTGTCCAAAGTTAATAACATTTCAGACTGTTTCCTCTGCGCAGGTTTGGATCATACTCCATTAACCGCGATTCCCATTGATTTTCTGCTCAATACCTCAACTAGACCCCAAGGACCCCCCTCTCCAGCCTTTGAGGAAGTACCTCTTTTTCGTAATTCATCAGGGAATTTCTCTTGCTGCTACACTTCCTCAGTTAAGCACCCTGTGACCAGATTGTTCTAATTTCTTCCTTAACCTTGCTCCACCTGGGTTCTTTTTCTGGTGCAATGGTACCCTAACAAAAAAATCTAAGCCTCAACATGCTGTTTGCTTTTTGTGTTCCTTCCACATTGGTCCCCCAATTAACTCTGTACAGTGAGACTGAATTAACATGGCTTGTTACTATCTCCCTTTCCAGGACTTGTTACTACCTCCTTTTCCAGTCTTTCTACCACTAGTAGTTAGACTTTCCCTGGCCTCCTCCCTTGCTGCCTCTGGACTCAGGGCAGGAGGACTTGGTTATGCAGTAACCGCTACTCAAAAGCTTGAATAACAACTTCAGGAAGCAGTAGAGGCATCAGTCGCTTCCCTACAAAGGCAAATAACATCTCTTGCCCAAGTCTCAGCTCTAGATCTTCTGACAGCAGACAAAGGAGGAACCTGCCTGTTCCTGAAAGAAGAATGCTGCTATTATATCAATGAAACTGGATCGATAGAAGAGAATGTTGACACCCTCCGTCGTTTGGGTGAAAGGCTTAAACAGCAACAATCAAATGACCCTTGGCCAGACTGGCTAAATTCAACCCTCATTGCGTGGCTGACTCCCATTCTCACTCCTATAGTAGTAATAGGACTTCTATTAATGATTGCTCCCTGCCTCCTCAGGTTAGCTCAAAAGCGCTTGAGTGAAATTGCTAGAGTGACCCACAACCAGATGCTCCTACACCCCTGCAGTCGCCTACCCACCGAACCTACAGGAAGTAGCTAGACGAAATTAGCTGACCTGTATCACCAAAAAGGCCCAAAGGCCCGGGATGTTAGGTCAGTGGCAGAGACTGCAGCCCACAAGGGAAAGGAAACATCAATCAGGCGCCAGCCAAAATGCCTGTCAATCAGCAGGATCTCCTGATTAATGCCTGTCAACCAGCAGGACCCCCTGACCAATCCTGGAGTTCAGCCAGCTCCCATGACCAACTCCAGCAGGACAAGGGACCCTAAAAATCCCCTTTCCTGTCCCAATCCCTTCTCTTCCTGCAGTGAGCCCCATAAAATTCCATTCCAGTAGAGCTCCCACTGTGGTTTCTCCTCAGACCCTTCTCCTGACCACTCTGTGGTCTGATGGAGTGATATCTCAATAAAGCCTCCTTCGGTGGCCTTTTTAAATCTGCTTCCTTTGGTGGCTACCTGCTTCGTGTGATCTTACAGTCTTCATTAATGTGTGCTGTCAGCTCTTCCCTTAGTAGGTAGCTTGAAAGGGGACCTCCTTGCCAGAGATTTGAAATGATGAAAGGGAAGCAGAGAGAGTACAAAAAAGGTGACATTACCTGGGAGCTCAGGTAGACTTTGAGGCACTCATCGCACACGGCCTTCTTGCAGCAGGGCAGGGGCTTGATGGGTTTGTCTTCCAGGCACACCCGGCACATCAGCACCGTGAGGGGCGCAAAGGGATCACCTACCCCGCCCAGGCCAGAGTAGGGTGGAGCTCCTAACAGGCCCGGCACAGAGAATGGCTCGGGCGCCAGGTAGAACTCCAGCTCCATGCTGCCGCCGTCGGGGGAAAGGGGGTCAGCTGGGAGTGACAGCCTGGGGCTGGGGAAGGAGGACTGGGGGTTGGAGGTGTTGGGCACCTGCGGAGCCCCAAGTGGCGATGCCGGTGGCGAGAGCTTCTCGGCGGTGGGGACCTCCGGCAGGTCGCTCTCCACGCAGTACACAGAGCAAAAGACTTGTCTCTTGGCTGGGGGCAGGCGCCGCTGACCCAGCACGTCCAAGACCACTCCATCGGGAGCCACGGCGTGGGTCCTGGGCTCCGTCTCCTCCCTGGGGGACGCCTCCTGCTGTTCATCCCCTCCCTCTTTTCTGTCCCCAGCTTCCTCCTCCTCTTCCTCCTGCTTCAGCTGCAGTTGCAAAGTCTGGGGATTGAGGGGCCCGGTGAGTGCCAGTCCCGCGGGCTGCCCGAGTGCTTGGCTCTTCCTCCACTCGGGCGCTCCCCGGCTCCTCGTAGGCTCCGGGGCGCTTGTGTCCGCACAGCTTGAGTCGCTTCCGCAGCCGCCGCCGCTCGACTCCGAGGAGTCGCCGCGCGGCCCGGGAGCCCCAGCGCTGTCCCCCCGCGGCCTCGGGGACTCAGGGTGGCCCGCGGAGCCCCCGTCCGGGCCCCGCGCCTCCTGGGGCCCGCCGCCGCCGCTCACCGTGCTCTGCTCCTCGCCCATCGCCGCCCGCGGCCCGCGCCGCCGCTGCCCATCCAGCCGCCGGGACCCCCACCCGGCGCCGGCGGGCAGCGGGGGCAGCGGCTCGGCTCCACTCGCGGCTCCGCTTCTGCTTCCGGGTCCCTCCTCCGGGGCTGGGACGCCCCAAGCTCCCTCCGGGGAGCCCGTGCTCCCGGGCCGCGGTGCGTGGGGAGCCCGGCCCGGCCCGCCGCTCCTCCTTCTCGTCCTCTGGCGCGGCCAGGCACCGCCTCGGGGGCGCGGAGGGCCGCTCGCTCGGGGCGCGGGGGCGCCCGCCCCACATGCAGGTTGGGGCGGTGCCGCGGCCCCCGCGAACCCTGGGCGGGGCAGAGGACTCCCAGAGGAGGCGGCCGTCAGTCCCGCGCCATCGCGGGTCCCAGCGGCGGGACGCGGGGCCGGGGGGCGGTGGTCAGAGATTCAAGGGGCCTGTGGCGCCGCGGCTGCGCGCACCAGTAGGTGCTGGAGCTCGAGCCAGCCGCCTGGGCCCCTGGGGGAGAGGCCGGAGCCGGCGACCTCCCTCTCCTGGAGCTTCACCTAGAGCCCTCCTCGCCACCCCTCACCCCACCCCTCTGGCGCACACCTCCCCACACGTACACACGCGCGTAGGCACCCGCGCACACACTCACACACCCGAGTGGGTGTGATCTAAAGAGCTGAGATGCGCTCTGGCGCCCAGAGTTCACACTGGGTCTCAACAAAACCCTTCAGGTCAGGCAGACTCCCCTTTGGGCTACACATTAAGTAGAACTTCCTACAAAACTACTGAATATTATTGCGAGCTGGAACTAAAAAAGGCTGACTGCTTAAGGATGTTGGATTGGAAGACACAATGCTAAGGATTATTCAAAATGCTGTTATATGCTAGTGTTTTCTGCCCAGTGAGGCAAGAAGGATCTTTGAAACCCACAAGAAATCCAAGAAGCACTTTCAATCTACTTCAGCTGGAAGTAAGGACAAGGGCTAATAACTGATCAGCGATTTATTCCTTTTTTTTTTTTTTTCTCTCTCTCTCTCTCTCTCCCCAGTGTTCTCTCAGGAAATTTTGTATGTGTGTTTCTTTGATTTTTTTTTTCCTAAACCTTTTTTAAATGGGCAGCACAAGGTAACTATATGATCTGGCCTAATTAATAAATTGGATCATTGGTGGAAATCGTGAGGAGTTTCGTTAACATAACCACATTCATCCCCAAAACTGTTTCCAGGACAACAATTATATTTGAGCCAGAACTTAATTATGTGTTGATCTATCTTTATTATACAGGAAGTATTAGTCACCCATACACTGGTGTATTTTAGTTCCCTAAAGCCAATGAAAACATTTTTGGGAAACCAATCTTTGGGGGTTTTTTTGTTTTGTTTTGTTTTGTCTTGTTTTTTTTGTTTGTTTGTTTGTTTGTTTTTTTTGTTTTGTTTTGTTTTTTTTAAACTTTATCTTGGGAAGGAATTCAATTTACACATTCACGTGATAGGAAGGAGCTGTTAGGTGTGTAGAATTTTTTATTCTATCTTGAAGTTGTTATTGGTTTTAAAAAAATATTTTCCAAATTAGATGCAAATGTCATCAAGGTGACTAGCTGTACAGTACTAAGAAAGCAATGTTAACACCAAAGAATATTTCCATCATATGTATCCAATGCTCAGGTGCACCTGGAGGGGATAAATTTGATCACTCCAAGTGCCATATCATTTATTGGTCTGACACATGAATGGCAAATTCTTATTTTGAAGATGAAAATTTTTTTCCATCTTTGCTCAATGATTTCCTCATAACTGTTGTGTTTCTCTGAAACATGCCCTTAGTTCCCAATGCTTATTGTTTATTTTTGTAAACTTTTTCATTGCTGTGACCAAAAGACCTGAAAAGAACAACTTTAGAGACAAAAAAAAAGGTTATTTGGGGGCTCACTGTTTCAATGGTCTCAGTCCATACATGGCTGATTCCATCACTCTAGGCTCCAGGTGAGGCAGAACATTATGGCAGAAGAGTGTGGCAAAGGGAAGCAATTCAGAACATGGCACCAGGAAGCTGAGAGACTCCCCGGGTATGCCCCCAATGACCTACCTTTTTTCAGCACACCCTACCTGTCTGCAGTTAACACCCAGTAAATCTCTATCAGAGGGTTAATGCACTAATTCGTTTTAGGTTCTTATAACCCAATGCTTTCACATCTAAGCTTCTTGCATTATTTCCCACATGAATTTTGGGGGGATACCTCACATTTAAACCATAACATAGGGACAAAAAGCCCACTTACGTGTGCCTTTTGTATGTGCTATGTCATAAACTTCTCTCCCTGCTCTTTCCAAATGGACATTTTTTTAAAAATCCATTTTCCAGATGAGAACAGGCTGAGAATAAGGCCAGAGTAACAATAATAGATACAAAAATGTATGTTTCCCAACATCTGTAAAAATCAAACCGCTCAAAGTCCCATAATTTTGTGTCTCCCTCCCACACACACTTGTCACTGGAGTTCTGAGAACTTGATCTTCCAGTATCCACTTTGTTCTTTATCCCATAGGTTTACCTCAGCTCTCTGGAAGTGGCTTCTCTTGACACGTAACCAACTATAAGTCATTGTTGGGATTCCTGAATGCTGCCCATAACTTCAGTTTCAATGGACTCCCCTTTTCTTTGCCATGACTTCTCTCTTACAGGATTTAGCTGCTCTTTGTGAAAATAAAACCATGCTGTTCCCTATGTTCACCCTTCAAGTAGACCCAGCACTGAATTTAGGACCCAGCACCCCTGACATCCAGTTTGGGGCATGCAAAATCCCAAAAGTGGAGAAATTAGTTGAAAGACATAAGGTCAAAAAGGTGGTTCTAACATCAGTTTCTTCAGAATGCACAAAGCATCAGTGATGATTGCACTTATGGGATTTGTGGTGCACACCTGTAATCCCAGCAACCCAGAATGCCAATGCAGGAGGATTTCAAGTTGGAGGCTAGCCTCAGCAAGGCCCTATCTCAAAATAAAAATAATAAAGGGCTGGGAATGTTGCTCAGTGGCTAAGTACCCCTGGGTTCAATCCCTGGTACCAAACAAACAAAAAGGATTGACTGAAGATGGAGTTACTGTAGTAAAAACTCCACTTACCTCCCACAAACTTAATGTTCTCAAAACTTGAACAATGTGTTTGATGGTAGGCTCTATAAAATGTTAGTATAGCAAATCTCAATAATATTCTGCCCCTACCAGTTTCTCAGCACGTCCTAATCTGCAATGAACTATGTAGACTTCAATATCAGAAGACTACCTCAGATCTAGAATTGTCAGTTTTAGAAGTGACAGGCAATTGCTTTTGATCATTATTGAATGCTCTTTTTTTCTGCTGCCACCTTTCTTATCTTGGCTTTTAAACATAGCTTGGTTTTGGCCCCTTAATTTTTTTTATGCAAAAATTAACTAGACAATTAAAAAGCCTAGATTTATTAACTTTTAGAAAAATGATATGACATATGAGAAGCTATGAATCATTTTACTTTTTCATGTTAAAGCTAAAATGAATTTCTTATTAACTGTTGAGGAGAAGGAATACACAACATTTTAAGACCATGAAACATTGTATAGAAAATATCTGACTTATTTGTCCACAACAGTCCCTCAATTAGCAGAACATGCAAAAAGAAACAGAAATGCTTTAATTAAAAGAAATCTGTGTTCTGAAGAGGAATAAAGGAGCACAATGGCTTCTGGGCCTACTTCTGAAAAGTCCTCCTCTCCTATCTTCCCCCCACCCCCTTCTTCTGTGGAAGAAGAAAACCTGGAATCCCAAAAGAAGTGGAAAAGAGAACATACCATTTCACTTTATTTTCCACCCAAATCACGAAGAAAAATCCAAACAGCAAAATTTATGGAAAAGTTACTCTGACAAAGCAGTGTAATTTGTTCAGAATCTAAAAGTAACAAATGTCCGAATGCTCATGAAACAGAAGAAACTAAGAGAGAGGAAGAAGAGGAGGAGGCAAGAGAAGGGAGGGAGAAGGGGAGGTTGGGAGTGGGGAAGGATTTTACCTACTCTCCAGTACTCTAAATAACTGTTTAAAGCACTTAATACATTGGTGTGTTTCATTCTTATGTTTGCATCTGTGTGTATAAAATGTATATGAAATTTTAATACTTTTTCTTCTGCTTTTCTTCCTTTTCTTACTTAGTGCTGTATCCTGAACCCTTTCATACTACAAATATCCCTTTACATGATCCTGAATTGTGACCATATAACATTGACTATATACACTATTGTGGTAACTTATTTAACCAATTCTACTGTACTCAAAATAGATCACTTATAATTTTAATAAAGTGTTTAACATTCATGTCATTTAAATGTTTTATATTAACCTATAACATAACCTTTGTGTACATTCTGAATATACAGTAGGAAAAAAAGTCCTAACAATTAAATTGCTGCAGAAAACGGTGGACGACTTGGAAGACTTTTGATACATATCATCCCAGAAATTTAGCATGAATTTATAATCCAATCAATAGTGTGGGTATAAGATAGCACTTGAATCATTCTAAGGAGATTTTTTTATGCATAATATGACAATTTTAATCAGTGGATACTTCTTTAAAATAAAAAGGATAATCTAATATTAACTCTCAATCCTCCTCTATTTATACTTTAACATGTATGTTAATGGTTCTCTGTTACTAAGGTTAGGATTCTGACAGCATCCCTTTCTCATCTCTTTTGAATTTCTTCTTTATCTCTTCTAATGACAATAGTGTTGTAATCAATTAAACTTAATCATCATTAATACTTTTAAGCCCACAGTGCAAATTATCAATTTCTGCTCTAATAATGGACATGAACAAAAAAGATTTTTTAAAATATTTTTAGTTGTAGGTGGACACAATACCTTTATTTTATTTTTATATGGTGCTAAGGATCAAACCCAGTGCTTCATGCATGCCTCATGCAAGTGCTCTACTGAGATACAACCCCAGCCCCCAACGAAGATTTTTTTTAAAGAGTAAAACAGTTTTAACTCAATGAACAGAAAAATAGGTTAATTATTAAAGATGGTTATTTGCATTAATGTTCATGACAAATTAAGGTACATAAGTCCTCCTTCCTTGTTATAATTCCATTCAAACACTTCTCAAATATCTATTAGATTCTGTGTCAAGCTCTGGAAAATTGAGTTTCTTAATTTTTTTCAAAGGAGAAAATAATTGTTTTCCCAATTTTTTCCTTATTGTTAACTATGTAACATCTATAAAACACTTCAAACTATCCAGAGCAGGTGTGATCTATATATGAAAGCCCAGTACGTAGTATTCTGCATATATTTAGATCCCAAGAAAATATTTTTAAAGGGAACAAAAAAACTATTCTATAGTAACTCAAACATTATATAAAACTGTAGTTTCCAAATTGTGTACCAAAGTACTCTGACATGTAGTAAACTCATAGGATCATCCTTTCAAATACTATACAAACTACTGCTAAGCTGTTTGGATCTGATTACTATTAGAAAATTATGTTGGCTTAAAGGGCTCTGTGAAAAATAACT